CCTTCCTAAGTCCATAGTTAAACCAAAGGGTCCAAATATCACTAATTTCAATCAGATCACATGCCTTTACGAAATTAGATCCAATCAAACCATAACACAAGCTGAAACTAAAGGTTATCCAATCGAAGTTCAAAATCTTTAATAAGCAAGCCACCAGCCGGAGCACCATCATCTCCAAGAATAACCAGTCTTAGGGTTTTATAGTTAAAGTCTCAAGCTCCAAGTTCAAATCCAAGAAATAAGTACAACTTGCTAACTTACGTGTCAAATGGAAACTAAGTCAATTTACACTAACTTCGTGCTCTTGATTGCGGTTACTCTATATCTCAAAGTTCCCTCAGTCCGTACACCTAAAGATAGGTCCACTCTTTTTTTGAAAACCAAGAATTTTAAAACATAAGAAGAGTATTTAAAGTAACCAAAAAAAAAAACAATCTTATCAAGTTCAAGATTTACATTGTAAAACATAAGTTCACCATTCTTTCAAAGACTCAAGATTTTTTTTTTCCGTGTAAAGCATAGACAAATTCAAGTGTGAGAATACACTAGCATACAATCAAGGAAGAAAAACTTAGTATAGAAAATTTTAACCTTGTATCAGCCCATCATATACAAAATTCAACAAGCTCATCAGTTATTCACAAATTTTCAGATTTGAAATTCAAGTAAAATTCACATAATTCACATATTTACCAAAATCAGAAAATTACACCTGCTTAAAGCATATATATATTATTTCCAATCATCGTTTGAAAATAAAAACTAGTACATCCTAGTTTTTCTTTAGAATTTCAAAGCAGAAATTCTCTAGGAGGTAAATGGGCGGGAAAATGCATTTTATTCCTTTGATACTCTTTTATCTTGGTTCAAAATCATCATACATGGAGTTCGACCATCAAATCTTGATCTCTTATCCTCCATAGTCAGTACTAATAATTACCTCAATTCTTTCCATACTTACAAGTATAATGATAATTCAAATTCGTCCAATCTTTCACTACTAATCTCTCATCCCATAGTTCCTTCAATATAACATCACCTAATTCCTCAATTTTATTTCTACAAGTCCCAAGTAAGAAACTCTCAAATAATCAATTTCTTTAACCCCTAATATACAATAGATCCTCGTTCACATAATATTCAAATTAATCCCATAGTCCGGCATCCTAAACTTTAAGTCTAGGATACACTACAGAGATCTCAAGCCTAAGCTCTGATACCACCTGTAACAACCCTACCTCCCCCTAAGGTTCGGCGGACCGCCTGCCCAGCTCTCGCCGGAACTCACTCACTCATTACAGTCCTCAAATAAATTACAAAGTAAATCTCAATTATACATCAAACGTTCCACAAATTCACATATCATAAGTGAAGCGAATACTTCTCAGTTGCACTACAAGCTAAAACCTCAAGAGATAAAAGCAATACTAATTCCCGAATAAAACAAAGGTCCTCAGTTCTCACATAAATACAAGTACAGTTGCAGTCCCAAATATTACACAAAGTCGAACTAAAACTTCAACGATACAGGAGATATTCCAACCATTCATATGGAGGACTTTAATACAAAAGCTTCCGTCGCCTCGAGCCCTGTGGAGGGGAATAAAATAGTTTTGGGGTGAGTTAGAAGCTCAACGAGTGAACAGTAATGATGAGAACATGAAGATTTGGATTCCCTTCAAATTCAAGGAAATTCAATTGATGGTTGATGGTGCAATCGGGTTCAAGAATCATTGAAGATTTGTCATGCTTATTTCTTGTTATTTATTTAAGTAAGTTTCCAGCAATACTTGTTAGTTAGTCTTGAGTTATTAAGGGAAATAAAGGCTAAGGTCATGTTGACCATAGTTAAGCCAATTGAGTCAGTTAGTTTCTTATTCTAATTGAATTAGAGTTTTAGAAAAGTAGTTAATTGCTTCCAAATTTATTTAGGAAGTTGTGTCAAGTCAAATTAGGAAGCTTGTATTGTTTCCAATTTAGATTAGGATTTTAAGTCTTGTAAGGCTATAAATAGCCAACTTTATTTAACTATTGAGGACATGATATTGAAGATGAATTAATAAAAAGAGAGTTGTCTCCTTTTATGGAGTTCCTTGATGGAACTTAAGTTTCTTCTTGAACTGTATCAAGTATTTAGCTTGGATACTTGTGGTGTTCAAGGCAAGATGATTACATCATCTTGTTCTTTCAAGCCAATAGCCAATCCACTAGGTTTCTAGAGACGGGTTCTCTTTAGGTCTAGCAAGGTAGTTATTGTTCCTTAACCAATAACCAATCCACTAGGTTTCTAGAGACGGGTTCTCTTTAGGTCTAGCAAGGTAGTTATTGTTCCATAACCTGATCAAGATAGATCCTTCCGCTGCCTGATCGACTTGGTTCTTCAAGACAGGTTCTTGCTGGGTCAAGTTCGTATCAAGTAAAATCAATAATCAAATAAGCTTTACAATGGTGCATTTAAATGATATCATGAATTAGTGATCAAATGTGCGTATATTGCTCTTTGGAGCCAGTGAAATCCTAGTACTTAAATATCCAACGCTCCCTTAGATCAAATAACAGATAAACCGAAATAAGGAGCCATCGTACTTCACAGAATGCGTAAACAGTAGTGGAGACGTTGGTTCTAAGCACAAGATTTTCCTAAGAACTCATCGGAGCCGAAATGTCATAGCACACACACAAACACAATGATATGCAATCGTGTAACCAATGCAAAAATTATTTCAAAAGTAACTTTTGGGAAATAGTTGAGGGATCACTCACCAACCACGGCTCATGAACCTTATCCATCATACGTCATTGCCTTGCTCCAATCGAAACCCTAGATTACAAATATCAGGTCAGGCAAAGGAATTCTGACATTATCAAGCTTCTATCACCTTTTGGCACTTTAATCACAATTGAAGCTTCACTTATCGGATTGAAACGAATCTTACGGCGTTACGAAGCTAAGACATATACCAACATTTCTTATGAAGACCTCCAAAGCCTAATCATACATTTCAAGGTCAAATATCGAAATCTCGGAGAGGACAGAAAACTGTCCGCAAAACAGGGTCTATGAACAGTCAAGGGTATTTTCATCATTTAATAGGATACAGTACTCCAATTGGTCTGAAATTTTGCATGTAGATAGTTAACTCATATATCTACAACTTTCATGTTTTGTCCACAAGCTGGTTCTGTCTAAATCACAGAGAAATTGGCAGACCAAGTTCGGTCCAGAAACAAGGCAAAAACGGAAATTACTCTTCTAACCAACCTTTGCATATAACCATTACTAATAGCAATTAAGGCTAGAAATTCCACCTTAACACTAGAATAAATTCCACTAATCATATACATGCCAAAATCAAAGAGGAAATAACTCAGATCAAGTCTAGAAATATCGCTAATATGGAACTTATCCTCCCAACTTCCGAATCACAAGAATTTTCGTAAAATTAATCAAGATCAACTTAAACTTAAAGCAATCAAATACTCTCAAAGATTGGACAGCATTTCCCCTTAATTTCTTCATTTTCCATCCTACAATACATTACCAATTGATACGAACTTGACCCAGCAAGAACCTGTCTTGAAGAACCAAGTCGATCAGGCAGCAGAAGGATCTATCTTGATCAGGTTATGGAACAATAACTACCTTGCTAGACCTAAAGAGAACCCGTCTCTAGAAACCTAGTGGATTGGTTATTGGTTAAGGAACAATAACTACCTTGCTAGACCTAAAGAGAACCCGTCTCTAGAAACCTAGTGGATTGGCTATTGGCTTGAAAGAACAAGATGATGTAATCATCTTGCCTTGAACACCACAAGTATCCAAGCTAAATACTTGATACAGTTCAAGAAGAAACTCAAGTTCCATCAAGGAACTCCATAATGGTAAGGTAGAAGCAAACACAGAGAACTGAGCATCTCACGAAGCCAGAATTTGTCCTTCAACCGAATAGCAGAAGCAACCACGCTCTCCGATTTCGGTGAAACGCAAAGCGTTTTAGCAGACTAAGGTAACGTGAGTGAACCATGTCAGTAAGTGCGGCCAATAATTTGTCACCCAAATGTACATCAGTTAAATGAATGATGAAATTAGAGTCAGCTGAAGACATAATACGAAGATGATAGAAGAATAGTGAAGTTTGCACTATATTTGTGTGTGTACCATATCCGTGTGTTTGTGAGCATTCAGCTTTTGAGTGATGGACTATAATGGGGTAGTAGTTATTGGAAGACGTAGGTTTATGTATTAAAGTAAACCGGCGAACGGAATTAGGAAAAATGAGAGAAACGAAAGGCACATTTAACAAGTGAATTAATGTACATTCTGTTGTAAATTAGTTACACGTTATAGCCACCGAATTACAATTGATATGAATCATTGTGCATGCAGTAGTTGGTCCATGCTCATGGGGCAATATTAGTTTGCCCCTCTCCTGACCATGCAATGTGTATAAAATGGAGGCGTAGAGTTGAATGAGGTGAAACAGAGGAAAAGACATATATGTGAATAATAAATGGGTGAATGCTACACTGGAAGTAAATTACATGATGTAAGAAATATTTTACAATGAGTAGAAAGTGCTTGTTTGGCCCTCAAAATGTAGAAATAGTACATAATGCGGAGTTGCCTTATGCGGTTGTCATTAACGGATGACATAAGGTCCAGTGAGGTAAAGAACTTAGAATCAAAATATAATCACCAGCGTGGATGTACATACAGTTAAAATAGACTTACATCGTGTGACTAATACATTACAGTCCGTATAAATTAGTGTACATGGAGTTATATATGTACATAGATTCATGCTATCTTAGAGTAAAAGTAAGTTGTGAATCATTTATCATATTGATAAGCGTAATATTAGGATTTTGTATACGAGTAATGTGTGATTCATAACACATTATGAATGGTAATATACATTTATGTTGTCGTTTATGTGTGTACTATTCAAAAAGTGTTACAAATTAAGGTGTTTGATGCATAACTGGCAGGAGCAGAAGTAATGGATTGCAGCAAATTGGCAGAAGATCGGACCCCTGAGTTAGGAATGGAGTTCAACAGTGAAGAGGACGCGTACAAGTTTTACAACAAGTACACCTTTAAAATGGGTTTTAGTGTACGTAAAGACTATGTGAATAAAGACAAAGACGGCGTGACCACGTCTAGGAGATATAGTTGCTGCAAGGAAGGGGTGAAGCGCAAGTACGAAGGTGATGTGATGCCAAAGAGGACAAGAGCGCCGACGAAAACAGGGTGTGGAGCTAAAATGATTATCGTGTTGCTTAGAGCCACAATGAAGTACCGTGTGCATGACTTTGTCTTAGAGCATAATCATGAGTTGCACATTGCTCAATGCTCGCACATGATGCCATCACAAAGAAAAGTGAGCGAGGCTCAAGGATTCCAAGCTGAAATAAGCGAGGACGCTGGGCTTTCATTGAAGCAGAGCCATGAGCTTATGGGAAATGAGGCAGCTGGGATGGAAAATGTGGGATATACTCGGGAAGACCTGAAACGATATCTTCGTACTCGACGGGAAAGGAGTTTGAAATATGGAGAAGCAGGTAGCATGCTGAATTATTTTCAAGAGCAAACACTCGAGAATCCATCATTTTTTCATGCCGTACAGCTGGATTGTGAAGAGCAGATAACGAATATTTTTTGGGCAGATGCAGGAATGTTAATTGACTACAACTTTTTTGGAGACGTAGTCACATTCGACACAACGTACAAAACAAATAAAGAATACCGGTCACTTGGAGTATTTGTGGGTTTTAACCAACATAGGCAAATTGTGATATTCGGTGCTGCCCTTATGTATGATGAGACTATAGATTCTTTCAAATGGGTATTTGGTACATTTCTAGAAGCAATGTTCGGAAAGCGTCCAAGTACCATACTAACAGACCAAGATCACGCCATGGCAGCCGCTCTATCAGTTGTCATGCCTGAAACATTTCACGGTCTATGTACGTTTCACATAAGGCGCAATTTTATGAAACATCTTGGCAATCACTACAAGGAAAATAGTGATCTGCCATACATGTTTGGTGCCTGCATGTATGAGTTTGAAGAAGTGGAACAATTCAATAGGGTCTGGGAAGCGATGGTGAAGAAACACAATCTTGAAAATAATGAATGGCTCTCCGGATTGTATCGAATTCGTGACAAATGGGCAAGATGCATGATGAAAGAAAGATGGACAGCGGGAATGCGAAGCACCCAACTGAGTGAAAGCCTAAATGCAGCAATAAAAAATCATTTAAAACTGGATCATGATCTTGTGCAGTTCTTTAGACATTTCAATCGGGTGGTTGATGAAAAGAGACACAATGAACTGATCGCAGAATATGAAATGAGGCAAAAGCTCCCCATGGTAGGGTTAAGGCAAACACCTATGTTTGTGCATGCATCAGAGACGTATTCACCAACCATATTTGTTGCATTCCAAAATGAGTATGGTGAATCAACAGCTATGGTTATATTGAGACAACAAGATGCAGGGATGTTTGTGGAGTTTACGGTCATGAGGTATGATGGAGGAGTTGAAAGAATAGTGGTATTCAATCGGAATGATGTAAGTGTACGTTGTAGTTGCAAAAAATACGAGAATGAAGGCATTTTGTGTAGGCACGCATTGAAGGTGTTTGATACCGTGGGTATAAAAATAATTCCTCCTGAATACGTTAAGAGGCGATGGACAAAAAGAGCCCGGGCTGGAGACTGTTTGATCGGCAAGGACGGAAAATTGTGGCTGATCCAAAAGTAATAGTTTCAACTCGTTATCGAGAGCTTGCTCCAGCCATGATTAAGGTCGCAGCTCGGGCAGCAATGTCGGAGGACACCAGCAAAATAGTAATCACTGTGATATCCGATTTGGCAAAGAAAGTGGAGCTGCTCCTCTTAGAAAACAAAGGGCAACCTTTGCAAAATCCAAAAAATCTGAATGTGGAGGAACGTGATAAAATTGAAATTGTAAATGAAATGGGAGAGGCAGTAGTCGCAAGAGGCATTAAAAACGAGCCGGCGGCAAGAAAAGTAGAGTGAAGCGAAGTTGGATCGATAAATTCGACAGAGTAAAAAGAAAATCTAGATTATCAAGGACTACACAGACTACGGTATGGATCCAATTTTGATATTTGGAAAATATTTATGGTAAAATAATACTATCGTTATACTATTGAACAAAGTTTAGGTACCATTCAGGCATGAAGTAATATTATTGCCGTGTCAATACTATAGGTCTCAGAATCAGAGCCGACGTCGATTTCAGTTGAGGAACACATGTTTATGGGATGTCGTTCATCTACTGACTCTGTTTCGGTTAGTATAAAATGCTCATGACTCTTGCTTTTATTTGGATGTTTGTACAGCATAATAGTTACATTTTTGTTACATTGTGTGATGATGTTGTTACGGCCGTCATCCCTCCTGATATGCCTATTTTGTTTGTCTTATACAATGATTTGGCCAATACAAACTCGTAGGTGCATTCAATGAGCCAGACTGTGAACGGCCCTCCAAACGCGGTTGCTCCCGAAATCGATGAAAGTGAGAAGGTATGCATTCATTTAGTAGTTAAAATAAGGGATAATATCATTTTCCTCTGTTGATGTTTCTTCTAAGCACACCTAGCACCCCCCTTATTTTCGAAATCACACTTAGCGCCCCTGGAATGACAACATTGGTAAGTTGTCAGCCCCTGTATTTGAAAATGGTAATAAAAAATGAATTGCAGGAGAGAGAATTTATTTTTGCTCCATTTGTGCCCGTACCCCAAAATGAATAGTGAATTTTAGCCAATTAATGCGTACCAAATATCATGTACATTTTCGTAAACTGATTGTACAGATTACATCACTCCGTGTAAAGTATTGACAGACAAGCAAGGGTTAATCATACAAGTAAAATTACATATCTACTATAGGGAGATGCACAAATTGATGAAAGGGCTAAATAACCATTTTAAATGTAGTGTTCTATTACACTACATTTTATAGATATACACAGTCAAGTAACTAACATGTAACATAATGTAAATTTTTATAAACGGATTGTATGTCATAGATAACTCCGTGTAAAGTATTCACAAATTAAAAGGACTACTCATACAAGTAAAATTACACATCCACTAATGGGAGATTCACAAATTGATCAAATGACTAAATAATCATTCCAAATTTATGCGTTCCATTACACTACCTTTGATATACATATATATACACACAGTCTAGTAACTAACTTTTAACATAACGTACATTTGTGTAAACTGATTGTACCTCATAGATCATCTCGTGTAAAGTTTACTTACAGACAATTTTCGGAACTAATTATACCTGAATCAATTTTGCTATTTTCAAAATCCAAAAAATCTTCTTTTTCAGTCTTTTTTTTCAGCATTTTACCACGTTAAAAATTTGGCTGCTGTTTGGTATTTGGGTAATTTCTCACCTTTTAATTTGGATAACCTGGCACATCCTACTTCCAGGGGTGGTTAGTGTGATTCGGAAAATAAATTGGGAGCTAGCTGTGATTAGAAGAAACTTCAGGAGAGGTTTCTGATATTAACCCTTAAATTGAAGACATTGTTGTTTGTATACAAGAGCTACTTTTTTCCTGTAATTGTAATGGTGGGCACCGAATGTTGTAAAATATGCATATTGTGTAATTAATGTATGCTGGCTTTAATAACATGATTTTTTTATTATTCGAAGGTCCTCCGTTTGGCTAATCAGGGGCCTCCTGGAAGTGTCCCTACAGAATGGATGCATCCCCAATTTTCTATTTTTTCCAAGCATAACTCCGTCAGAAATATCTTAATGGTATAATATATCATTTTGTTATATTGTCTAGTCCAATTTAACTTTATGAAATGGCAATATAGGCACTGTTAATGATTTGGGGACCTTGACGAATACGTATACAATGTAAAATTACAGGAGGAGCTTGTGGCAATTTCAACACATTGTGATGTTGATCAATATCATGTATTTACACCATCATCCCAGGTGAGAAACTGTTATCGTTAGATCACATATTTCAATTGTAATGTTGTTAATTGGTTACTTGGACATTGTATATCATTAATCGTATGTTTCATGAATAATAGTTGGTGATCTGTGATTGTTACGCATTTCAGGGAAGAAATAACACCCAGGGATTGCAAGTACGTGTTGACGTAGCCTCCGCCGAGAATGAGGTTAATGAATGATGTTTAACTATAACTTTTGAACGAGACATTAAGTGGTTGTCCCAACATGGAATGCTACATATGTACGTTACAAGTAGTAGGATGCAGTTACAACTTATCTATGAGGTTGTACGGGCACCATTGATGTTTCACTCTTTTCAAATTTAGAGAAGTGGATTACAATTGTAATCGCATGTATATGTTGTAGTCATCAATAGTTGCTATTGGATTGTATGAAATTGTTAGGAGATTATAAAGCTGGTAGGAAATTGAAATAGCGATTTTACAATAGAAATGAACGCGCTTTTTTTTTATCGGATATTTTCAGTAAATCTACCATGACAGGAGAATGGCTGTCGTGATATGCATACCATTCTATTCCGTTCAATCAGGAACTTTAATAACACATTTATTGGACTTGAACGGACCGTCAAAGGTAAGATGTAGAAAATATGACGATGTAGAGTACATGCTGACCGCTTTGTTCTGGTTATTGGGCTATTACTGGGCTATTTTTAAAAAAAATTATGATTTTGGCCTTTTATTTTTGCATCGCTTGACGAATTTAGCGCACCATTGAGATGATGTATCACAGTCACATCAATTGGTATTACATGTTTGTAGGTTATGGTCAAGTCAAGTCACGAAAACATAACCAATGAATATGTGCGCATACGAAAATGATTTCTTGGAGAACTAATTTGCAACGTGAAAACGAAGTTTTACAATGCAACCAAAAAGAAGAACGAACAGTACATAATGGGTTACAATAAGTTAGGGATATGTTACTGTAGCGGTTCAAGCAGTGAGACTGTCAAAGGCATGATTGATATCCGAATAGGGTAAACAATTTGTCGAACGGAGATTGTAAGGTGTACAGTTTTATTGCTACCCTGAAGAGCATTGAACTACATCCCTTGTTATGATTCGTATCCCATACAACACCTGGGAACGCCGTCATGCATTAGACAATCGGGTACGTACCTTTGAAAGTCATCGTCGCTTGATTCAGTAAAGTCAGATAGGTCCGGGTCTGATATAAGCATGGGATCTGCTAAAATGTGCTGAACATCAAATTCTTTTCCAATACCATGTCTTTATGCTGCCTCGATCTCGTGGAACCTGTGAAGCCTACGCTCCATCTGCATAACTTCTCGCTGTAGTCTATGTAATACGTTTGCTTCATTGGCTTGTGCTCCTCTAACAAGAGCCGCTGACCTTGTTCTCGGCACGCGGAGGCTATGCCAGTGACAAAATACCTCTAATTCCATTCTTCGCGAACGAACAGGCTCCCATATAGGTTCATGGTCCGTAACGAAAAAACCAGTGGGTAGATGATCCTTGGCGCTATTTTCAAATATGTGGCCAGCTAGTCCCAGAGAGTTATTGGTGTTCAGCGGAGCGTTCCTAAATTCGCGTTTAGTACCATATAAAATCCTCCCGTCTGGTGTTTCGTACCTGCTCATTGCATTTTTTTGATCCATCGATACTTTCCGTCTCTTTTGTCGAGCCTTTGATGGTGAGCTTGTATGAGATCCTTCGTTTGTAAATTGCATGACTGAGCTAACAACTGCTGCTTTTTTGGTTGGATGAAAGGATGGATCTACTGATAAATAATTAGGAGGGAGTTACCTAAGATGTAGAAATTTTTACAAAGCTTCTGTTTCTGACCATGCATAGTGAACGGTTTCTTCTGGCAACCTGAACAACTGCATGCTGTGTCATATCATGCTATTCTTCACGGGATAGTTGAGTCGCATGCAGTGGCTGAACCAAAGCTGATTCAGCCCCCTTCCTTGCCAGGCATGGCTTTTTGTGGTAAGTTCTGTAGTGATAATATTTACGTCGTGTTTCTAATCAATAGCAGACAATAATACAAAAAAGCGCAGCTCTTATCACGAAATGACCTGCACCTCCTATATTTATCATTGCATATGACGGGAGTCTGGTAATACGTGGCTAGACAATTGATAAGCTTGCAACTATTAGTCTTTCTACGTTGCACGAGGTTAATATGCTGTTACAGATTATTGAAGTGCTTGTACAGGCGACCTGTCGTGTTCCTGTATGTTAAATCTTACAGAAGTTGTTTACAATTGTGCTAATGATGAGTATTACAGATAGAATTACAGGCACTTGTCAAAAATTGACAGGTTGTCAGCCTGTGCAATAATAAATACCTGCTCAAACTAAAAGTAATTTCTGTAGATAGTGGTGAGCAGGGTCGAATCCACAGGGACTGGAGTAATTGTTTCTTTTCAAATTCACAGTGACAAGGGGGTGTTTTTATGCAGAAGGTGACAATAAAAGAAATCCAAATAAAATCTAAGAAACTACTAAAAATTAAATAACAAATTACTAAAATCAAATGAATGATAATTAAGGATCTAGCAAGGAATAACTTCAGCAATGGTTCACCTAATTGATCATCGATAAGCAAAGGCAATTCCAATTATCTACTAATAAATAGGTTATAACTGCCAAACAAGCGATGGCGGTCAACCCCTCCTTACTGTGTCGGTGATCAAGGTACGCCCGTTAATCACCTGCTCTAATGAGACTAGAAATAATCCTAGGTA